TTCAGGTTGCCTACATACAGGGGTTTTGTCGCGCAATTTGCCTTCTTTCAGGCGGCTATCTAGAGGACCACACATGCGATCGCCAACCACGCCCTCCCCCCTCCCCCTTAATCCGCGCCTGCGGCCAACAGTCATCGCGTCGAGCTGGCTGAGGGGATGAAAGTAGGCATCATCACATCCCAAGGATTGACCAGGGTGGGCCGAGGCGGTCTCGAGGCCCCCCGCTCCAGCCACCGGCAGCCCCGCGAGCCCCCAGGCCGGCTGCAGCGCGCCGCCCTCCCCGGCCCGTCCAGTGACGTCACCCGCGCGCCCGCCCGCCCGCCGGGCTCAAAACCCCAGAGCCAAGGACCAAATGAGGGCTGCTCGCGCTAGAGAGACTCCCGAGGAGCACAGGAGCACCAGGCTCGGCTAGCAAACAGCACGGCAAGCAGCAAAACGCACGCTATTTACTGAAACGCGAGAAGGTAAGATGTAAGTTTATATAAATGTCTCTGGTGGCTACATTAGTAGGGAATATCAAGTAATTAGGTTATCTGTCATTTCTTGCAGAGTCTTCAGAGGGAGAGGCCTCTGTCATTGAGTGATGACTGTCAGGTGGACGAGGCTCACTCAGACTGTGACGTGTTAGGCGAGGCCTCTGATAGGTACAGTCTGTCGCCCAGGTGTGCAGTATAGGTCGCGACCGGAGCAAGGCGTCATTCTACCAATTTTTTTGTTACAGACTATATATGACCACGGAGCCCAACGACCCCCCCCCCCCCCCTCCCCTATTAGAAGCGAAAAGTCCCGAATCCTGGCGGCCGGGATCGGCCCGAACGAGTCCGAAACCTGCGATGTGTTCCGCCAGACGTCCGGTTGAACCACCCGGGCTGCTCCACCTTCAGCCCGTCACCGGACTAGGACAGACCGAAAGTAGCCCGAGTGTGTCCGGGCAGCCCGGTTTTGGCCCTTAGGTAGTCGGATATAGCCCGACTGCAGCCCGAAAGCAACCGGACGATCCGGTGATCGCACCAGAATTATGCTCTTCCTCGGACAAACCGGTGACAGACCGATTTAACGTTAAATCCAAGCACACTAACTGGATTTTAATCTTGTATTTGAATGAATTTCAGCTATAAAAATTGTGCACACACCTCTCCGTTGACTTTACCACTTTTGTGCATTCATTTGTACGTTTCCTCACAAATGTGTCCCAAATAAACCATAGGTTTTATGTATAATACGAACGTTTTCACAAAAGACATGAGAATACATTTAGCGTGAGCCCACTTCACATTCTAATTGATTGTCACCGTAAGTCACGCACCTGTGAGGTAGGCAACGAAAACTCATGTGTGCGCAATGGGTTGTCTACCTCGCAAAGTAGTAGGCGCTAGCCGCTCTGGCGCGGGGCGCGGGCAGTGCAAGGGGGAAGGAGTCACATCGTATGCCGACAACAGCGGCTCTCCTCCCGTCTTCCTCCTCACCTTTCTTAGCAAAGCGCACCCCATCCCCCCCTCTCCCTGAGTTGTTTAATTAGGTGTGTGCAGGGTCCGCCCCTGCCAGGGCGTGCCCCCCCCAGCTGGCCGGAGCGACCGAGCACAGTCAGTTCCGATCTATCACCTGTCTTTAGCACAGGTCGAGTTCGCGGACTACATATCTGCGTAGATAGTTACTTGTGTTGTATTGCGACTGTGTGTGTGCCTACAATAAACCTATGTGCCTATACCCGTGGTGTTTTACCTTGGACGTCAGACCCAACAGTGTGATAAATCGAGTGGGAAACAAGGGAAAATGGTAGAAAGTTCCCCGCTCTTCAGAAAAATTTGAAGCAAAGTAAATTGTAGCATACATGTTTATTTTCATTAAAATTTATTATTACTCTAGTCCCAAATTATTGATTGGGAGAGCCATACATTCGGATTCGGCTGTATCTAGTGGCACATACAGACATACAGTCTTGATTGAAGCAGAGCCGGGGGCGGCCGGGGGCCTAGCCTACAGCCTGCACCAGGTCATACCGCTCATGCCGGGTGTGGACGAGATCTACATGGTCGACTTGGAGCGGAAGCGCGTCAAGGGGGAAATTACTTGCGAAATGGTTCGTACACCTTCCGCCGAAATAATTGCGAAATGGTCGTAATAAGTGCGAAATAGGCGCGAAATGGGCGGAATGAATGCGAAATAGACGCGAAATGAACGAAATGTATGAGAAATGAGGGCGAAATGGACGAAATGGATGCGAAATTAGGCGAAATGAATGCGGAATGGTCCGTAATGATTCAGAAGTGACCCCCAAACAATGTTTGTCAAATGCATGTCTTTGCTCTTTCCAGCATTTGGTTAAAACTACACACATTCCTGCTCACGACTTGACTTTATCGTAATAAGGATTCTCATTCCTTTTTGGTGTCAGGTGGCCGGAGGAAGAGGTCTAGCGACAGCGATCTACCCTTAGCATCGGATGACGTCGTCAGCTCGTTGTAGGCCTACTATGACTTGAAAGATAGTCGAACAGCTGGTAGCGGTAGCATTTCGAGTCCTGCCAGCGCCCAGACGTAGACGTTGCTGCTTTGATGCTATTTTTATTTTCTGACACCATATTTCATTTTCAATAATTTTGGCTTATTACTGCCAACATTCAAGATGGCTATTTTTCGCTCACTTAGCCCCTCGCCTTTCCCTGCCCCCACCCTCCCCCATCCCTCTCGCGTAACGGGCAGGCGATGGTGTGATGGTCGTTGACGGCGAGCTTGGCCGCTCACCCGCTCACCATTGCACCCCGCGGGTGCGGATGACATCAGCTCATGCCGCCCGGCCCGGACTTGCCATGGAACAGGCGGGGACAGGGGTGATACGTTGCACCCGAGGCCGGGGCTGGGGGTCCGTCGCCAAGTGTGCTAGTCGCCGGGTGTCCCCGCTCTCCAGCGTGTCGCACACGGGGGCCACCACCCGGACGGCGCGCGCGTGGAGCGCGCCAGCAGAGTGATTCCGCATCGCTTTTCGTACTTCTGTCCCTGTCGCACTCTTGAGGCGCTGCCTTTTGGTGGGAGAGAGAAACCCCCTAAGAACGGTTGTATATCGTTTGCGGCACTAATCCTCCAGGTCAGAAGGGTCGAGTTTCATTTGCGGCGCGCGGAGGGAAAAAAGGAGAAATTTCTCTCCGTGTATCGATTGCGGCGCGGATGTTTCCGATGCGACGCTGGACCAGCCGGGCAAAGGGAGGGGCAGGGAGAAGTAAAACCTCCAACCTAAGTGTGGATCCGGAGATGCCCAGTTGCAAGCGTGATTTCCACGCCTGAGCGCGATTTTCACGCAAGCGTCTGCTAACGGCGGCCTGTGATTGGCTGACAGACCGCCTGAAGCAGACGGTTGCGCGAAAATCACGCTCAGGCGTGGAAATCGCGCTTGTGTTTGGGAATCTCCGGATCCACCATAAGGGAAGGCAAAAACCCCGCGCATGGCCGTATACCTCGCCCCTGCTTCACCCTGCGAATAATTTATAGATGGTTGGTGTGTCTCCCGGGTCAGCAGAAGTCCCTCCCGAGTGAGCGACACCACCCCAAGTCCGTCCCTTTGCCTCTCCCGCGGGGCTTGTCGGAACTACGTACGGGCGGCGCACAAAAGCGCCACCAAGCACCGGAAATGGAGGCAAGAGGACACGGGCCGGGCCACTTTGTGTCGCGAAACTGACCGGAAATGAGGGTGGTGCCAGAGCGTTCCCACGAGGACGAGTTCCGGTAGAAAGTCTCCGGGGCCGCAGGCTTCGCAGACGGTTCTCCCGGAAGTCGAGAGAGAGATGAGGGATGTAGGCGAGGCGCGCAAACAGCGCCGCCGGAAACTCGGTGAGGTGTGTCCCGGACACCTGCAACGAGTCCACCATTAGTGTCCGCAGCCAGTCCAGAGGCACGTCCACACGACTAGGGATCGTCCAGAAAGTACGTCCGGTTTTTCCCAGGTTGAATTAGCGAATTTACAAGGGATGGCGCCTGTGAAACCCGGGGTAGGCAAACCCGCAGTGCACACGTGCACCGCAGGCAAGATGTTGCCTACCCAACAGGCGCTCCGAGGAGAGTTTCCACACGCCGGACTTGGCAATTTCTTACAACGTTATGACCGTTTAGCCCGTTGAGCCCCTGATGCGTCGGCAACACCTTGTATGCAGTGCATGATTGCACTGTGGGCTGTAGTCCCGCAGGCACAAGCTCTTGTAAGTAACAGAATGAAACTGAGAAAATAAGGACGTACTTTCTGCATCACACCTTACCTTCAGAGACGGAGCCGAGGCTAGCACCTTCCCGAGTCCCTGAGGCCCCAGGCCCGTCCAGGCCTCGGCCTCGAAGACGCGCAGCAGCCGCAGCGGCTGAAGGGTGTCCGTCTCCATGACCTCCAGCGGCAGAGATCGGAGAGCAAGCGACCGGAGACGGGGAAGCTCAGAGAAGCTCGTCCTGCCCAGCGCCTGAGACATACAAGTCCTCCGCCTTCAAAGTTATGACTGTGTCAGTTTGGAAGTTCTAAACGCACCTTACTCTACTCACCCTAATGCGGTTGTTGGACAAATCCAGGGTGCTGAGGAGTGGGAAGGGCTTGTCGGGCGGCGCGCCCAGCATGTTGGCGGCCAGGTGCAGGGAGCGCAGGGCAGGCAGCTCCCCTTGCGGCGCAACCTGCAGGGAGTTGCCGGACAGGTTGAGCGCGACGAGAGACGGCAGCGGGAGCGGCGGCGCGGCCCGGAGCCCCACGGCGTCCAGCCCCAGCTCCCGCAGGCCGTGCACGTAGTGGAACAGCTCGGCCAGGTTGGCGCGCAGGGGGTTGCGCCCGAGACGGAGCGACAGCAGCGCGCCCAGCGGCGAGAACACGTTGTCCGGGAGGAACGACAAGCGGTTGTCGGCGAGGTCGAGGTGGCACAGGCCGGGCGTGGCCAGGAACACGGTGCCGTCAAGGTGCTGGATGGCGTTGCTCGCCAGGCCCAGCGAGCGCAGCGACGCCCCCGCCTCGGCCAGGGCGGCGCTCGGCACGGCGCCCAGCGCGTTGTTGGACAGGTCGAGCCGCTCCAGGGCGGTGCCAGACAGCGCCCCCGGGGGCACGGCACGCAGGCGGTTGTGCGACAGGTCCAGCACGCGCAGGCTGGCCATGCCCGCGAACTGCTCGGGCTGCAAGGAGGCCACGTGATTGTGCGCCAGCAGCAGCACCTGCAGCATGTCGCAGCCCTGGAAGGCCCGGGGCGCCATGGACACCAGGTCGTTGTGCTCCAGGGAGAGCAGCTCCAGCGACTGCAGCGTGCCCAGTAGGAGCCCGTCCAGGCGGCTGACGCGGTTGTGCGCGAGGTGGAGGCGGCGCAGCGTGGCCCCGACACCCACCAGGAACTTGCTCTTGAGCTCGGCGATGAAGTTGTGGCTGAGGTCGAGCGTGTGCACGTACAGCGGCGCGCCCTCCGTGCCGCCCGAGTACAGCTCGGCCACGCGGTTCCACGACACGTTGAGGGTAAGGGGCGCCTCCGGACGACTCACGTTGACGAAGGCGCTCAGCGAAAACACCTGCAGCCTATTGCGGTGGAGGTCCAGGCTGGACAGCGACGGCAGGTCCACGAAGGAGCGCGGCTGCAGCTTGGACACCTTGTTGTCCCGTAGCAGGACCGTCTCCAGGCGCGGTAAGTCTTCCAGCGCCGACGACTCCACCATGTGGATGTGGTTGCCGGCCAGCACCAGGGTTCGCAGTGCGGGCAGCCGACGCAGCGCCTCCGGCCGCAGCGCACGCAGCATGTTGTAGCCCAAGCGCAGCTCCCGCAGGTTAGAGTGCTCCTCACCCAGCAGCCCCGGCGGCAGCTCAGAAAGCAGGTTGTCCTCCAAGTTGAGGAACTCGAGGCTGATGAGCGTCCGCAGCGCGTCGTGCGAGAGTACCCGAATGTCGTTGTTGTCCAGGGCGAGCCATCGCAGCTTCTCCAAGGGCCGTAGGGCAGGGCCTCCTCGGGGAAGCGCACCGCGGCCGCGTCCACCAGGGCCACGGGCTGGCCTCTAGGCTCTGCAGCTCGGTGAGGTCCGCGAACGCGCGGCCGGGTCCACCGACGCGAGGCGGTTGAAGGACAGGTTGAGCTCCAGCAGGCGCGGCGCGTGCCGGAACACCCAGGGGCCCCAGGTGCGCGATGTTGTTGTTGGCGAGCAGCAGCGTGTCCAGGGACGCCGCCCAGCCCTCCAGGTCGCCGTCCGTCAGGCGCGGGATCCCGTTGTAGCCGGCGTTGAGGTGCGCGAGTTGGGTACAGCGCCGCAGAGCGCCGACGGGCAGGAAGTGGAGGTCATTGCCGGAGATAGAGAGCGCGCGCAGCGAGGCGGGCAGCGCGTCATCGGGCACCTCACTCAGGCGGTTGTTGGCCACGAACAGCGAGTGCAGGCGGCTCAGGTTGGCGACGGCGGCACTAGGGAAGGACCGCAGCGCGTTTCGAGTCCAGGTCCAGGTGCTCCAGAGAGTCCTCCAGACCCTCCAGGGCGGTCGGGTGGATGGTGTCGATGCGGTTTGCAGCCAGTGAGAGGCGCACCGTCGAGAAACCCTGCAGCGCGCGCGGAGGGAGGACCCGTAAGGTTGGCTACATTTGAGCTTGATGGTTCAGCATTCAACGGGTTCGATACTCGGGGGGTTGGGTGTGGTTCATTGAACAGGTTTGGTTTAGAGTATAAAGATGTATTCAATGAGTTATCGACATACCGCTACACACACAGATGGGAGTAATCCAATAAGGAGAGAGACGATGATTATCCAATGGAGACACACAGAGACGACACACACACACGATAGATCTACACTATTAGGCTGGAGGGCTCTGACTGACTGACCCTCGAGGTGCACCCCTTCCTTTTATAGGGTCGCCCCCCGAGGTGTGAGTCTGGAGGGGGGAGGCCGGCCGGGATGCATGCGTGCATCCCTTGGACCCCGGGCGGCAGCCCGGAGCGCTCCACCGAGCTTGGCAGCGGCTCCCCACCCCAGTACAGTCAGACCACCAAGTTATGATACGGTTCCTTGCGGACCCGCAGAGCATTCTGGTCCAGGCGCAGCTCGCGCACCGCCAGCGTCCCGTTAAAGCACTGCGATGGGAGGCTCTGCAAAATAAAAAGTTTTAGTAAGCTTCAATCCTCTACAGTTTCCCAGAGGTGGAAAAGTAACCCGGCTTCGAAGCGTAACGAGGAATAATAACCAAGGCGAATCTACGAAAAGACCAGGACAAGGGGGCTGAGGAGAAAACGGCCCGCAACGTCAGGCAGCAGGCGGTGGCAAGAAAAAGCACCGGAAATAATTTGCGCATATTTTTTGTGCGAAGAAGCAGAATTCGGAAGTGGAGCAGGATAAATGTGACGATGACGTCTGGAGGGGGCCATTATCAGCAAATTGGCGCATTAGAAGAAAAATTGAAACTGAGGGGCGACTTTGGTATTCCAGCTGACAGCTCGACGTGCAGACGCAGGGCGGGGGCGGGCAGCAAGGGCAGTGGCCAGCAGCGGAGCAGCCGCCCCGGAGCACAAAATAGTAATCCCCTTGGCGTATTTGAACCGGTGGCGGCCAGATGGACAGAGAATGAAAGCCAGAAGAGGGAGGGACGGGGTGGGGGCTTTCGGATTCTCGGTCTCGGGGTCCGGCGATTATTAGGGGCCGTTCACAAAATACGTCACGCATTTTTG